CCTTTCCCGGACTGAGGAGTTGGCTCAGCCCTTAAATGTTTATTGTTCTCCGGAAGGACCAGAGTTTAGAGTCCAGTATCTGCTTCCGGTAGCTCACAACTGCCTGCACCCTCCAGTGCCAGGAGATCTGATGCTAGCTTTTTGTTTGTTTGTTTTGAGCCAGGGTTTCTCTGTGCATATCCCTGGCTGTCCTGGAACTCATTCCGTAGACCAGGCTGGCCTCAAACTCAGAGATTTGCGTGTCTCTGCCTCATGAGTGCTGGGATTAAAGGTGTGCGCCACCACTGACCAGTGTGATGCTATCTTTGTCCCCAAGGGCACTTGCACTCTTGTCGCATATAGGTTCAGAAAGACACACAAATTATGAATTAAAAAAAATTCTTAAAGGAGAAAAGTTCCCTTTCTGCATTACAAAGGGGAGGGAACAGGGTCTATGAGTCTTCCTAATAGCTGTCATAATAGTGGGCATCACCCACCACCCTGGAGGCGCTAGTAACTACCCCAGCAAAGTGTGTCCATCACTCAGTGGGATGTTCCAAGGACACCAATGTCCTAATGACCTGTGGCCTGGTCCAGTACCGACGACAGGAGCAAAGGCTGTTTTGGGGGCCTCTCAGAGGTCAGAAGTTTCCCTGACATGGGCCCAGTAAGACCCTCAGTTTCCTACCTCCCGTCAGCCTCGTAGCCACTCCTGTGGGCTTCTGGGTTAGGTAGAGGCATCGAGAAGCTGAGAAATATGGGCAAAGACGCCCCTTTCCACCTTCTGTTGGAATAGGGCCATCGTGAGTCAAGAGGGAGGACTAGAAGCCCCAAAGCATCCTGGGGATCCGGTTCCTCTGGTCTCGGGCAGTTAAGAGTAGAGGAAGGAACACTGGCTTGAGAAACGACCGTCAGATGCTCGTCAGGGCATCGAGAGCCCTCACAGCAGAAGCAATTGTTTGCTGAACATCCACTGTGTGTCAGTCCTTTACCAGAGTTTTATTGTCACAGTGAGTGATACTTGGGCTTCCCAGTAACTCTGACAGCAGGGAATCAGGGTGACTGAGGTGACACTAGGTCACAAGTGCTTGAGCAAGGTCCGGATGAATCTCCCAGGGGTCAGTTGTCACCCCGGAGGCCACTCAGTCATGGCAGCCAGGCGTGTGTTTGAGGTGCCTCATCCCACTCTGGTGGGTCTGTGGAAACAGGGTCGAAACTTAATCACAGATGACCTCACTAGGGTTGCCTGAGGCTCTGAGCAGCTGACTTTTCTCCCCGCTGCCGAGTTCCTGCTTTCAAAAGTCCCATGGAAGGTAGAGGTGGAGGTGGAGGTGTAGCTCAGAGGTACAGGGCTTGTCTAGCATACACAGGGTTCTGGGTTCATCCATAACGTTGTAGAAGTTAAAACATACGCGTATACATGTGCTCTCAAGCACACGGGCGCACATGTACACACACACACACACATACACACACGCACACACACACACACTGCTCTGTGGTAGTCCCTGAGCGGGGTGCAGAGCTGCGCTGGAGCCCCTTTTAGCTGCAGCCCATAGGCTTCCCTCACACTAAAGTCTAATGCATCAGGGCTGCACCCACAGCCGCTGCAATGGGTTAGACACTTATGCCCCCTGACTAACTTAGGGTGTCTGTTGCTACGATGAAACACATGACCACAAAGCAAGTTGGAGAAGAAAGGGTTTATTTGGTTTATTTGGCTTGCACTTCCACGTTGCTTTTTATCACTGAAGGAAGTCAGGACAGGAATTCAAGCAGGTCAAGAACCTGGAGGCAGGAGCTGATGCAGAGGCCATGGAGGGGAGCTGCTTACTGGCTTGCTCAGTCTACTTTCTTATAGCACCCAGGACCAGCAGCCCAGGGATGGCACCACCTGCAACGCCCTGGGCCCTCCTCCATTGGTCACTAGATAAGACAATGCCTTACAGCTGGATCTCATGGAGGCATTTCCTCAATTGAGGCTCCTTCCTCTGACGACTCTAGCTGGTGTCCAGTTGACACACAAAACCAGCCAGGATAATCTTCAAGTCCCCAAACGATGAAATCAGGAAGTGGGCTTTGGGTCAAAGATTAGGTCATGAGATCAAAGTTTTGTAAAGAAGAACCCAGAGAGCTAGCTCTCTCCTTCCGCCATGCTGAGATGTGTGTGTGTGTGTGGGGGTGCCATATAAACAGAGAGTAGGTCCCTACCATACACCCAACCTGCCAGCTCTTCGATTTTCAACTTCAACCTTCACAACTATAAGAAATGGATCTTGGTTGTTTATCTCCCTGCGGTATTTGGATGTAAGCGGCCTGAACAAGTCTTTGCCGGCTAAGGGCTGCAGTTTCCGCTGCGCCGTCCGTGGGATGAGGGCATAGCTCCGTGGGCAGAGAGCACTTGCCCAGTGTGTGTGAAGCCCTGGCTTATATCTCCCGTCCCTCACCAACGGGGTACGGATGTTCATCGCTATCACCCTGGCATTAAAGAAATGGAGCCAGGAGAGCCAGAAGTTCAAGGTCCTCCTCAGTTAAGCAGTGAGTTAAGGACGGCCTGTGAGACAAGACAACCGACTCTCACTTCTCCAGTCCCTACGAGGCGAGGCGGTGTTTCAGCTTCTTCAGTAAGGGAGTTTAGACAATGGAAGTGCAGGGTCTCACAGGTTGCTGCAGCAGCTGCAGCTACTTAGATTAACAGTGGCGGCTTTGACTGTCCTTGGCAGGATGGGGAGGCTCACCCTGACCAGTAAGAGAGATGGAGGGGGCAGGGCTGGGAGCCAGCACTGCCACAAGCCTGTGGCTTCGCCTTAGACAAGACACTAAAGCTCTCTCTGAACTCGGCTTCTCCCCGATGCTCTCATGATTTCGTATGCCTGGAGCAGTGATTGTTTGATAAATGACACCCACGGGTCGTCTTATTCTCCCGTGGCTGATCACCTGGTACTTTGCAGTGTGCTTTGTTGTGTGGGTTAGACCGAGAGGTAGATTAGAGCTAAGGCTTGTGAGTTGCAGGTGAGATTCTAATAAAGGCGAAACATGTTTTCTGACCCCCTACTCCACGTTCCCTGTCCAGGCCAGCGCCCCCCCTCCCCGTGCGCGCACACAAACACACACACACACACACACACACACACACACACACACACACACATTGCTTATGTGTTCATGTCCTGAATGTCTCATCTTTCACCCTTCTCCGTGTCTATCACTCAGCTCTTTAGGCTCAATGGCTGGCTAAATGGCGACTGCCTTCTTCTCCCCCAGCTCATTGTCTACGTGAATATGACCTTATTTTTCCATTATCTGCATTACAATAACTTTACTACTCCAGGAGACTCTTGCCCAGGCAAAGCACAGATTATTCATTCCAGGAATTTCCCCAAAGATCCCACGACTCTCCACGAGGAAGCATCCGCGAGAGTTTCTCACCTGTGGCGGTCCAAGCCCTGACCTTGCTCTTTACTCCAACGTGGAGCTGTTATGTCTTGCCCCAAAGCCAACAATGCCCCTGCTGTGGAAAGGCCCTCTCGGGTGATATCAAACAGTAGTTCTCGGTGAGACCTGCCCTCTCCCCTCCCTGGTGCTGGTCCATCCCTGCTAAGCCCTTTGCTGTCCTGGCTGGCTGGAAATGAGCTGATCCATGCTCCAGATCAATGACTATGAGCCCACCCACATTGCTTTTCTCCTGAGCGGAAGTCTGAAGCAGTCCTCCCAGGGAGCTTGTTTGCACTGACGCTAGCTGAGCCCTGATGAGAGAGCCAGGCCAGGAGACCTCCAGAGCCCGGATAGCCAGGGATCTTTATGTTATCTGAGCACACAGAGCTGCTCTAGGGTGTTATGGGGACATGAGTAGGCAGCCATGTACACAGAGCCCCTCGTGACCCTTGACTGGCGGTGAAACGCTACTCCTCTCCGGCCCTCAGAGACTTTCGTGGTTAGTCACGGTGGACGACTAGTTATTCCCTAGTCTAGGCCCAAAGAAGACCTGAAGAGAGAAAACTCCCCACTTCCACTGTTCATGCAGACTGCAGACGCACAGCTTAGGTCTCTCCTCAGACCAGGGACAACAATTGAATGTTCTTAGACGGAGAGGTCTTTAGGGAACGGAGAGATGGCTCAGCAGAGTCCAAGCTGCTCTTGCAGAAGCCCCGAGTTCAATTCTCAGCAGTTCATAATTGCCTTTAACTCCAGCTCTGCAGGGATCCAACACCACTGACCACCCTTGGTCACCTGACGTGGAGAGAGAGAAAGAGAGAGAGCGAGAAACGGAAAGACAGAGTTGCGCGCGCATGCAAACACACACACAGACAGAGACACAGAGTCACACATAGACAGAGAGAGACAGAGACGGAGAACACATACACAGAGACAGAGACAAAGACAGACACACACAGAGACATAGACAGAGACATGCAGACACACACAGAGCTAGAGACCAGAGACAGAGAACACACACAGAGACAGAGACATAGACAGAGAACACACACAGAGCAAGAGACAGACAGACACATGTACATACAATTAAAAATTAGTTTGTTTGGCTTTTTCCAAAGGTCTCCCCGAGGGGCTTTGACCAGACACAGAGCTTGCTGTGTGGCAGGGGCCTACTGTGGGAAGAGGTCCCTAGTGACAGTGAAATGGCATCCAAAGGAAAACATTACCAAGAAACGTAAAACGGGCCTGGCGGCACTTGCTTTCAGTCCCAGCTCTCAGGAAGCAGAGATGGGTGTTTCTCTGTGAGTCTGAGACCTGTCAGTCACACAGTGAGACCTCACCTCCAAAAACAAGCAGGACAGCTCTGGACCAGAAATCGTTCCCTGGCCTTCACTAAGTTACACTTGTCTCTGTCACACCTGTTGTCCCTCTGCCACACTCGTCTCTGCCACACACTCACCTCTCTGTCACACTCGCCTGTCACACTCGCCTGTCACACTCGTCTCTGTCACACACTCATCTCTGTCACACTCGCCTGTCACACTCGTCTCTGTCACACACTCATCTCTGTCACACACTCAACTCTGTCACACACTCGTCTCTGTCACACTCATCTCTGTCACTCTCGTCTCTGTCACACTCATCTCTGTCACACTCATCTCTGTCACACTCATCTCTGTCACACACTCAACTCTGTCACACTCATCTCTGTCACACTCATCTCTGTCACACTCATCTCTGTCACACTCATCTCTGTCACACTCATCTCTGTCACACTCGTCTCTGTCACACTCGTCTCTGTCACACTCGTCTCTGTCACACACTCGTCTCTGTCACACTCATCTCTGTCACACTCATCTCTGTCACACACTCGTCTCTGTCACACTCATCTGTCACACACTCGTCTCTGTCACACTCGTCTCTGTCACACTCTCGTCTCTGTCACACACTCGTCTCTGTCACACTCGTCTCTGTCACACTCGTCTCTGTCACACTCGTCTCTGTCACACACTCGTCTCTGTCACACTCATCTCTGTCACACACTCGTCTCTGTCACACACTCATCTCTGTCACACACTCGTCTCTGTCACACACACGTCTCTGTCACACTCGTCTCTGTCACACTCGTCTCTGTCACACTCATCTCTGTCACACTCATCTCTGTCACACACTCAACTCTGTCACACTCATCTCTGTCACACTCATCTCTGTCACACTCATCTCTGTCACACTCATCTCTGTCACACTCGTCTCTGTCACACTCGTCTCTGTCACACTCGTCTCTGTCACACACTCGTCTCTGTCACACTCATCTCTGTCACACTCATCTCTGTCACACTCATCTCTGTCACACTCATCTCTGTCACACACTCGTCTCTGTCACACTCGTGTCTGTCACACTCTCGTCTCTGTCACACACTCGTCTCTGTCACACTCGTCTCTGTCACACTCGTCTCTGTCACACACTCGTCTCTGTCACACTCATCTCTGTCACACTCTCGTCTCTGTCACACTCATCTCTGTCACACTCATCTCTGTCACACTCGTCTCTGTCAAACTCGTCTCTGTCACACTTGTCTCTGTCACACACTCATCTCTGTCACACTCGTCTCTGTCACACTCATCTCTGTCACACACTCATCTCTGTCATACTCGTCTCTGTCACACTCATCTCTGCCACACTCATCTCTGTCACACACTCGTCTCTGTCACACTCGTCTCTGTCACACTCGTCTCTGTCACACTCATCTCTGTCACACTCATCTTTCTCACACTCGTCTCTGTCACACACTCGTCTCTGTCACACTCGTGTCTGTTGCACTTGTCCCTGGGCATGCCTAGAGATGGGTGAAGTGCTGTGACGGTTTTAATGTCTGACCAGATTGTTTAATGTGGTGGCCTTGGGTGACCCGAGCCTCAGTCAGACCACCCGACTGGAAACTCCTGGAAGGAGACTAAAACCTCACTTCCTTTATTTAGTGCCGCTAAAATTCACAGATAAAAATGTCAGGGAAGGCGAAAGACGGTGTAAGCCCGTGCCCGAGTTCCATGGGGTTACTCTACTTACTGTGGCCTCCAAAGAAATCAACCCATTATGGAACAAAATAAAAATATGGTTAAGTTTTTAAATTAAACTTTATTTATTATTGTGTATGGTGTTGGGGAAGGGGCACATATGTAGCCTTCACTGGTCTAGACTAGCTGTGTAGATCAGGCTGACCTTGAACTCACAGAGACCCTGTGCTGGGATTAAAGTAGCCACTATGTTGTTTGTTTCTTAACATCATCATCATCATCATCATCATCATCATCATCATCATTATTATTATTTTTATTATTACATGTATGTACATGATGGGGTGCAGGGCACCTACATGTATGATGACTGTGTGGAGTCTGGAGGACACATTTGTAGAGCTGGGTCTTTCCCTCCCCCTTTGTGTGGGTTCGGGGGATCAAATCGGGGTCATTAAACTTCTGCAGCAAGTAAGTGCTTGCTCACCGAGCCCTCTCACTAGATACATGCCCTGCTTCTTAAGAACATTTTATTAAAGACTACTGGGCATGGCAGCCCATGCTTGAAATCCTAAAACTCACGCTGGTGCTGGTGGCACACACCTTTAATCCCAGCGATCTAGAGGCACAGCACGAGCTCCAGGACAGCCCCAGCTACACAGAGGAACCCAGTCTCCAAAAACCAAAACCAAAACAAACAAAAAAATCCTAACTCTCACAGGAAATGAGGTCGAAGGATTGCCCCAGTGGCCTGGCCTCAGACTTGCTACAAACTGCAGGGTGGCCTGGCCTTGAGCTCCTTGCTGCTCCTCCCCTTGCTAGGATATAGGCGTGCAGCTCAGCTGCCTTATGTTGGGTCCTGTATGAGCAGGTGCAGAAGTGCATGCCCTGGTTTGTAGTGGCCGTGTAGGCTGGCAGAGTGGCACAGTCTCAGCTAGGGTCACCACTGCTGTGATGAGACACCATGACCAAAAGCAAGTTGGGGAGGGAAGGGTTCAGTTGGCTTACACTTCCACATCGTAGTCTGTCATTGAAAGAGGCCAGAACAGGGATCTCAAAGACGACAAGAGGCCGGGCGGTGGTGGCGCAAGCCTTTAATCCCAGCACTCGGGAGGCAGAGGCAGGCGGATCTCTGTGAGTTCGAGACCAGCCTGGTCTACAAGAGCTAGTTCCAGGACAGGCTCCAAAATCACAGAGAAACCCTGTTTCGAAAAACAAAAAAACAAAAAACAAAACAAAACAAAACAAAAAAAAGACGACAAGAACCTGCAGGCCATGAAAAGGTACTGCTTTCTGGCTTGCTCCTTCTGCTTTGCTTTCTTCTAGAACAATGGTCCCAACCTGTGGGTCATGGCTCCTTTGGCAAACCTCTACTTCCAAAAAATATTTACATTATAATTCATAACAGTAGCAGAATTATAGTTATGAAGTAGCAACAAAAATAACTTTATGGTTAGGGGTGATTCACCACAACATGAGGAACTGTATTAAAGGGTCACAGCCTTAGGAAGGTTGAGGACCACTGTTTCAGGACCCAGGACCACCAGTCCAGAGATGGCACCACCCACAATGGGCCGGCCATCAATCACTAACTAAGAAAATGCCCTACAGTCTTTCTCCAGCCTGGTCTTATAGAGGCATTTTCTCAGTCGAGGTTCCTGCCTCTCTGATGGCTCTAGCTTGTGTGTCAAGTTGACACAAAACTGGCCAGCACAACCGCCAAGGCCCAGATCGTTATGATGCGATCCATTACCTTGTCGGGAAATGTGGGACCTCATACCAGGCTCAAAGCACTTGGGCGAGAACCCGAATTTCAACAATCTGCCTAGGCAATTCAAGTGCACGTTGACTGCGAAGTCCTGGGCAAGCAAGCATTAATGGAGACGGGGTGCAGACTTCTTCCAGGCTTATCTCTGGAGTCTGCCGTCACCCGCAGACGTAAAATGAACGGTGAACCGTGCTGTGGATGGTGGACTTAATCCCAGACTGGACGTCACTTTTGCTCTGAACCCAGCTTGCTTTCTTGCCCCCGTCAAAAGGGTGCCAATGCTGGGTTGTTAGCTAACTGGGACAGAAGCCCCAGATCCCCTTGCCCCCTACTCTGCATTGGGTGACCCTGCCTGGAACTCTGGCTCTCTCTCCTCCTGAGCAAGGGGTTCTGAGACAGAGGCCCCGGCCAGCTCATCTGTGGGCCTCTGGGAGGACTGGAGAATAATTCTTCATAATGCAAACGCATGAATGAGACCGAGAGTCCGTCCCACTTCTCAGGAGGGAAACACACAGAACGGCAAGTTTCGGTTCCTGTAACGTTCCCTTACTTCAAAATGTGGAAACAACCTGGATGTTTCTGTACAGGGATCAGAGGTTGGGGAATGCTTCTCTGGCTGAGTTCCTGAATTGAATGAGCTTCGAGAAACCTGACCTTTCTCATCAAACAATTACCCTAGGCGGGTTAGTGAAGTTGTGGGGCTTGGGGACACGGGGTGGGGGGGGGTGGGGGTGGGACGGGGACGGGAACGGGAGACGGGGAGAACACTCCTCCTTGCTCAGTTCTGGTTGTCATGGTTTAATCACTTCCAGGACATGAGACGTTTCAATGTAAGCCACCCCCACCCCCATCCTTCAGCGTTTCCAGGCCTTAGATTGCTCAGACTGGAGTTTCTTTTCTCCTTTATATAAAAACTTTTCCGGATGGAAAAAACCGGTCCACCTGCCCTGTCAAGGCAGTGTGTCCTGCAGCAGCAGGAGGTACAGGCAGGATGAACGAAGATCAAAATTCGAGGAAGTTGCTCACGTGGCTCTATTTCCCCGCATGCTGTTATTTCCTTCTTTCCCAGGCTCCATCTTTCCCAGGCTCCTTCATCTTTCCCTGTCCCAACGAAACTTCCAGGAGAAAATCAGGGGTGTGAAGGAGGGCTTTTTGTCCAAACTATCCTATTGGGAGCAAACTGAAGACTTACTAAAGTCATTTCTGTTCTAAGTTTTTCTCTAGCCATCTAACCAGCAGACAGAACAGAGACAAGGATGAGGGATGAGGATGAACTTCAGTCTTTCACTGAGCCTAGCTCCCTCAGGATTTGTGCAGGGCATTAACTCCATGGGCTCACGTGACTCAGAAGAGGACCTTCCCTCCATCACCACAGAGAATGATGGCCCTAGGTAAGAGTTGGTCTGAGGTCAAGGAAAGGTAGACCACTTCTTCTTGTTCTGTTGTTTCCCCAACCTTCCACACAGAACAAAAGTGAGCCTGTATAGGTGTGCCTTGGTTTTATGTGACTGACATGCTTTTGTTTATGTAGATCCTCCTGCCTCAGCCTCTCAAGTGCTGGGATTAAAGGCATGCGCTAGCTAGCGAACCTGCCTTAAGAAGCTAAGACCAAGTTTCTCCCCTTTGTTCATTAGAATATAAGGCACGTTTCTCACTTAGCTGAGCGAGCCTAAATCAGCATTGCTGTGGTCAGCACTGGACACCTGAACAGGTGCTCTGAGGTAGATCCTGGGGCACCTGGCAGGGGACACAGGGACCACCACAGTGCTTAGATCCAGACAGACTATGGTTGCAGGAGTGGGACGTGGCTAGCTTTGCTCAGTTTGCAATAGTGCTTTTCTATTTAAGACACACAGAGTGTTGGGGTAAGAGGAAGATGATCACCTTTTTGACATCATGTGTAGATCCAGAACCGGAAAAGGAAGCACAGTAGCAGTATCTGCTCGGCTATAAGCTGAAGCACGTTCATTTTATTTACCTATCATTCTGGCATTTGACATAATGTCACCTCACTTCTTTCTCCCAAAACAAGAGATGTATTCTGAGGACAAAAACATTAACTACCAAGTGTCTAAATGCAATTTCACAAGTGATTGACAATTGTGAAATCACCTTTGGCAGAATCACTCGGTAGAATCAGTACACTGTGCGGATGAAGAGACTTCCCCCAAGTTTACTAGCCCTGAGACTACGGTTAGTGACGAAACAGATGCGCGACCTTATGGTTAACAGCCTGCATTAGGTCAGGGAGCCAGCTTGCTCTCCTCAGTGTTCCCCACACAAGCTGTTCTCTGGCTCTCCTGCTTGCCCTGTGAAACACAGGATGTTGTACAATAGCGTGTTTTTTCTTCCTCAGCACTAGATGCCCAGCACTGTCTCTTGTGCAATGTTTACGACAGCCCAGTCAATAAATGAGAAGTCTCGAGGTGTCTGTCTGCTGGGTGTCAGGACGGCACTTCTGAGTCCAGGCCCGCTCTTGAGAACTTTCCCAGCTACGACAAATGAATTCGGCAAATTCCTCTCGTGCAGACTAAGTTCTAAAGTGACAGCAGGGTTCTGGAACCGCTTAAATCGAGGAGAAAATGACAACAGAGCCTTCAGTGACGGAGCAGGTGGCTCGTTGGTACCCCAGCCCAAGGCTGGCATTTCCTGTCACCCTAGCAGGAGCCTCTCGCCCACACAGGGGTTACAGGGTTGCTGCGAAGCTTCGCTGGGAGGCTGGGCCTAAAGTGAGGAGCTGCTCTGGGCTTCCTTAGCTGGCTGTGCACCCCGCCCCCCACAGCCCCAGCTCTCAGCCCCCCAGCCCTCAGGAACAAGCTACTCTCAGACCAACTAATGAGCAGGACGATGCTGTTTGTAAAAATCTGTTTAATAAATATACATCTCAGAAGTACCAAAATAATTACCAACAAAATACACGATATACAACATTTACAGGAGGGTAACACACACCTCAGCCGGAGTGACGTAAGCACACACCACTGAACACCTGGTTCTCACATGGGAGGACACACTGGGGTCGGCTACTAGATCTAGGGCGGTCCAATCAAAAGCACAATAAATAAACTGTGGTCCTTTCATTAGCGTCTGGAAAACCACCTCCCCAAATCCCACAAACATCAACTTCAAAAGACATTTTCTTTGAATTCCGATGATCTGTTTCCCCAAATTTCACAGAAACAACAAAACGAAGGCTGAAATCACCGCAGGGGGATGCTCGGGGTGAGACCGTGTGCTGGTAAGGATACCCTTCTTTTTTTTTTTTTTTTCCTTTTCTTTCTTTTTAGAAAAATAAAGCTCTTGTTTTGTACAAATATACAAGTCCGTGTTCTCTGATGCTTTGCACTCACAACGTCAGACGCTGGCCTCCAAACACACAGTCGTCATAGGGCAGCTGAAACAAGAGGGGGAAAGGCGAATTAAATTCCTAGACATTGTGAAGACAGGAGGGCTGCTTCTGGCAATAACTCATATTCTTGGTCTCTTTCCTCCTGAACCCAAATATAATCAATCCCCCAGGCTGTAGGAGCTTTAAAATCTAAGCTATTGCAGGAGGTGTACCTCAATGGTGGAACACACGTGCCTGATACCACGTGTGAAGGCCTGGGTTCAAGCTCCGGACCCCCGCCCCCAAGGATAAGCTATTAAAGCAAATCAGAGAGACAAGCTCTTGGGATACTGGTTTTGCAAGCTGAGTTTGAGAAGTTAAATAATTACGCTGTGATCCCGAGAATAAAAACTAGCTTTAGGGACGTAAGAGGGCTGAGGGAGACTGGGCCGTCCTGGCAGTAAACGAGCATTCACCTCATCCTCCGTGAACTCGGACTCTGTGTCGTAGCAATCCTCATCCTCGCTCTCCGGCAGTGTCTGAAGGTTTTCCAGGGTCAGCTGGCCCAGCTGCTGCTGTATCCGGGTGCTCGGGCGGCCCCAGGTGAGCTGATAGGGGGAGTAGCCTTGGTAGGTGACTCTGTTGACATCAGCGCCACACTTCAGCAAGAGCGAGACCAGGTCAGGATTCTGCAGGTCCACCGCAAGGTGGAGGGCTGTCCGGCCATTGCAGGGCTCCTGAAACCAAAAGCCATAGGGCATGTTTAGGGCGCCATCCGGAAACACGCTTGCAGAAAGAGCGGGTTGGGAAGAGCTCAGGAGGCACCCGAGGGGCTCCATCTGGAAGGAGATGTACTCACCTGCGCGTTGACATCCGCACCCAAAGACACCAGATGCTCCACGATGCCCAGGTAGCCGTGGATGGAGGCTAGGTGCAGACACGTGTGGCCTAGGGAAGAGACGAAAACCATAACTACTTGTTTCAACGCACACAACAGCGCATGCCCTATCTTCTTATGGGACAATCACAAATATCCCCAGTTTTTAAGAACTTAGTTCTAGGTTCAGATTGAACACTACATAGACACCAAAGTGGGAATTTTTAAAAGTCCATATTGTCTGAACTTTTTATATGTGTTGAGAGTTGAAGCTCTAGCCTAAAGTGGGCCCACCTCTCCCTTCCCTGTGTCCTGGGATGGACGGGCAGACCTACCGTTGTAGTTGGTGGCCTGCAGGATGGAGTGGAGATGCTGGGGTGTGCAAGTCTGCGTTAGGATTCCCACACTGGCCAGGCAGCCCTGCTCACAGGCAAGATGTAGAGGGGTATTTCCTCGAAAGTCTCGGAGCTCAGGATCACAGCCAGCTTCCAAAAGTGCCTCAGCAATTCCTGGCTGGTTGGTGATCACAGCCAAGTGAAGTGGAGTCTACAAACGGAAGAGGAAACAGAAAGGGGATAAGCCATGGGGCAAACCCATCGTCTTGGGTTTCCTGAACCCCAGACACCTCTTTGCTGTGGATTCTGCTCCTCCCAGATGGCTACAGGACATCAGCAAACGCGAGGCCCCAGGTGGGTCATAAAACCAAAACTAAACCCCTGGGATTTTCCTCAAGCTCTAAGACGTTGGCTCATTTGAATTTTGTAAAAGGCCAGGGCAGATAAGAGCTCAGTGACTATTAATTTAGAAACTCGGGGCGACTGAGCTAACATCCAACTCCGCCACCAGGTCAAAGAGGGCACAGCTGGGCAAGCGCGCACCTGCAGCAGGTTGTTCTGGAAGTTGAGGAAGGCGAGGTCTCCCTTCACCTGCCGAATCACTTCCATGGTCAGAGTCTTCTCTTCATGGATGATTGCCAAGTGCAGGAACCTGAAGGATGACAGGGAAAGCCCCCAAGGGGCGGTGAGCGCACTGCGTGGGGCCCCCGAGAGGCGTGGGCTGCGGGGGATTGCGCAAGGCCGGGGTTTCTGGAGGCCGCGGCCCGCGGTGTTTTCCGCGAGGTTATTATGAGCTGAGTGTTCCTGGCAGGCGCCCAGGGACTTTCCGTGCACCACCCCCTCCGGGCGGGCGCCGGCGAGACCGGCCCGCCCTCCCCTCGGCCGCTCGGAACGCAACGCCCTGTACTTCCCCTTCGCGGCCCCGCGGCTGCGCGCTAAACTCTGCCAGGCTGGGACTTGGCGTCCCCGCTGCCGCCCCGCCCCCCGGCCTGCGATCGGCGGCTACGCCAGGTCTCAGGCGCCCGGGAGGGGGGTAGGGGAGCTGGGGAGAAGGGAGAACTGGGGGGGGGGGGGGGGGGGGCGGAGAAGGCAGAGGCCCAGGCGATCGCAGCCCCGCCGGCCCCTCCGTGCAAAACCCTGAGCGCGCCGCGGGCCTCTCTCCCGCGCAACCCGGCTCGCCCGTGCCCGCCGCCACTTACGAGTCTCCGTCCTCCGTGAGCTGCTGCTTCCAGGGCTCGGCGGCCAGCTGCGCCTCCTGCGGCTGCAGGCGGATCTCGCGCAGCTCCTTCACCATCTGCTCGTACTCCTCGTCCTTCATGGAGTCCAGGCCGCTGTCGTGGCGATCGTCCACCAGCCGCTCTTTCTTGAGGCCGTCCCGCGGGCCCTCCATGGCCCAGTCCTGGCCTTGGCCGACCGGCTGAAACATGGCTGCGCGGGGCTGCGTGCGGGGCTGCGCGGGGCTGCAAGCTGCTGGCTGCTGGGCTGCGAGTTCCGACTGTTGTAGGCTCGCCAGCGCCGCCGCGGCGCCCTATAAACGCTGGCAGGGGATTTCTCAGGGGCGGGGTCAGGCGGGGGAATTTCCAGCCAGTCAGACTAGAAAAAGAACTGGCTGGGTCCTGGACTGTGGAGCCTAAGCCTAAACCCAGGGCTGGGGTTCATTGGAGAAACTCCCTGGGATGAGCCACTGGGGTCATGTACGGGGAACTTTTTGATGAGCCCTGAGTGGCTGGAAAGTCCTCCCGACCAGGCCCCCTCCCCTCTAGGTACTTCCCTGCAGCCTGCACTCAGTAAACCCAGGCCTCTGCAAGAACCCTTCTTTCCCTGGGGTTTCCCACCGTCCCTTCGATGTGGGGTCCTGAGCTGCTGAGATCCCAAGGACGCAGACCTGCTGGGCGGTTCCTCTTAGCGACTTGCCACTTTGCAGGTCCTTTCCGGTTTTTGATCTTTTGAAAACCCAAGAGTGGAAATGCTGGCTGGCTGGCTGCAGGGATTCGCTTCTCTTAAATTTCTTCGAGGAAGGACGGATGAGTGGTTTTAGGCAGTCTGTGTTTTGCCCATTCCAGGCTCTTAGTAGTGCAGGGACATTTGGCTCTCCCTCACCTCCCCCCTTCTATGAAGCTGGGAAGCTTTGACATTAAAAGTATCCAAGCGCTTGGAGAACCCCTAGATCATTTTTCTAGGGGTCGATAATCTGTCTCCTGGGGGAGGGCGGACCCTAGCTCTGTATGGGGGAAAAGTGCTAATAGGAACCACATTTTTTTTAAGTTAAGCGAGGTGTTAGTCTTTGTAGTAGTTGTAGCTTCCTAGCAACTGTAACTGTTGAGTTCTTGTGTCCGATTTACTTCTTACTGCAGAGATGGAGGCTGGGCTTATGGTGAGTGCCTAGCAGAGCAACTGGGTTTGTGCTTTAGCCAAGGCTGGACCTTAAATACAGCAAAGAAAGTAGCTGCAGGGCATCCTGTTGGAGGCTCAAGGCAGTCAGTCCTCACAGTGACCACATCTGAACCCTGCTGGCTCTACCAGCTTCCGCTACTCCCCAGAGAGAGGGATTTGAGCCTGTGACCCTCTATTCCACCAGCAGAAATAGAACAGCTGCTTCTACCCCTTCCCCACCTTCGAGCCTGCAATTGTGAGCTGAACTCATTAACTTCTCCTAGAATTAGCGCAGGAAAAGTAAAACAGATGGGAATTAGTTAGACACAAGAGGCCTCTATAGTTTGCAGATTTCTGGTGAGAGTTGAATGATCTCCCTCTTCATGGGCCATATACCAACTCTCCTCTCTCTTCATAATTCCATTCCTCCCCAGTACATGGATGTGAGGACACTGGGGGAAAAAGATGTAAAATCCAGGAAAAACCAAAACCCAAACCCTCGAGATAGAAAGGATCATATGTTAAAATAAAAACTTCCCCAGTGAGTTCTTTTCCACTTGCAATTGTTGAGGCGAAGTGGGCTTGATTGTAAGAAGGAGACCTCAGTTCCAGGCGCTGTCTTTCATTAAATACATTAGATGAAGAAGTAGCTTACCTTTTTTTTGGGGGGGGGTATGCTATACTTGTTTTTATAGTAGTGGGATTGGATTTGTGTTGGTGAGGTGATTCCAGGCATTGTAGTCCTAGGTTGGTCTGAAACTCACTGTGTTGTCCAGGCTAACCTGGTCTTGTTAGTAAAGACTTCTGCCTCAGCCTCCCCTGAGTGCTGGGATTGCAGCTGTGAACTGTCAGTCCTGGCATTTTTGAGATACTTTGTGACTTCAAAATTGTGTCATTTGTCTACAGAGGCATGCCCCAGTCTGCTCTGGAAGTATGAGCATGGGCTTTTGGAAGCATCACAGTGTAAAGTTTTGGAGGATCCCCAGCTCTTTATGCCTCACACTGTTCTCAGAAGTTATGTTGTAAGCCAGGTGTGGTTCCCATTTTCCTAAAAAGAAAGACGAAATACTAGAATTTACCCAGGCACCCCATGACAGCTTATCTAATCTCTACCACAATATAGTAATCATTTTGCTAAAGTAGATGTCGTGCTTGGAAACACCTTGCAAAAAGAGAGAGAGAGAGAGAGAGAGAGAGAGAGAGAGAGACAAAATATAGTGCAATTTGAAATATACTCAAAGTATTTAACTGAGTTCGGGGCCAACATGGCTAACACAAGACTTGTCTTGAAATCCCTTTCCTCCCTCGCAGCCCCTCATAAAAGTATTTTCTCTTCCACCTTGGATGTAAAGTTGAGGGTATGCACTTTTCTATCTGGAGATTAGTTCCTCAAAAGTGTATAGCAGGAGCTGGGTGGTGGTGATGGTAATGGCTGCGGAGTGTACAACCTTTAATCCCAGCATTTGGGAGGCAGAGGCAGGCCAGTCTCCAAATCTGAGGCCAACCTGGTCTGCAGAGTGAGTTCCAGGACAACTAGAGATACGCAGAGAAACCCTGTCTCAAAAGAGAAAAAAGAAAAAAAAAAACAACAGTATAGCAGGGGTTGGAGCAATGGCTCAGCTCAGCCCAGAGTACTGGCTGCTCTTCTGGAGGACCTGAGTTTGATTTCTAGCAACCACAGGACTTTGGGCACCAGGCAAGGAATGTGGTGCACATACATACAAGCAAAACATTGATACATATAACATTTTTTAAATAATAAAAACTTTAAATGATGTATCCTTTTTTAATGTTTATTTTTAAACACTGTATCCTAAAATTTAGTTAAATTTTAATACATTACTTTAAACAATATATCCTAAATTAAACTTTGTAAAAAAAAATTACCACAGTTCTAAGGAAAAGCCTTACCTATACAAGACGCATCAGAGGATGATTTGGGGCTGCAAGGATAAAAATGAAGGAGTGTGTGTGTTTATGTGTCCTTTGAGATTTCCTGTCCCCACCACCTCAGGCCTTGTGATCTACCTCTGTATTGTGTAGTGTGACACCTAGTGGCAGGAGTTAGACCCTTTCTGGGTCATGGCAAAACCTTTTGAAACTTTGGGAGGGGCTGAACCTCTATGACTTATCCCTCCCTGGGATTTCCCAGGGAGGAACCTTTTGTTTACCTGCTGCCAGGGAGACGGGTGGAATAAAGTGAGCCGGCAGGTAGTCTCCCCATCACGGACAACTCCATATGGCTTAAGTCAACAAACGTTACAACTTGGGAGAAAGAATATCAGAATCATAAGCAGGTTGCATGCGGACGTACAGAAAGGAAGGCACTAGACAAAGAAAGTGTCTGACTTTTCAGCATTGAGAGAACTTGTGGATCCTTACATACTTCAGTTTTCTCTCTTGTCAAACATTTTATCTAGGTTAACCACTTTTAGACTGTTAATGCTTTATATAACTTTTGTTTATTTATTTATTGGGCCAAGGTTTCACCATGGGGCTCTAGTTGGGCTCCAGCCACTGCCCTCTTGCCTCGGCCTCCTGTGCACTACCATGCCCAGCCCCAGCTCTGTGTTTGTGTGTGCAGACCTGGGAAATGACCCCAGGGTCCCTTGCAAAGGTGCTAAACACATACTTTGCCACTGAACTACACCTCGATATTTTTTCTTTTCTCTGTTTAATGCAGAATGCAAAAATAATAAGTTGTACCTTGTAGCAACTTAGTGCTTTAGGCCAGGACGTAGCCTCCAGCGATGACAAGGTGGCCAGTGGCACTGTGGGACTTGTGGACTGGGCACCTCCACAGGGAAGGGGCATTGTCAAAGCTTCCTGAATCCTCCCCGGTGAGACGAAACCTCCCACCGTCATGGAGACAGTTTACAAGTTTAGCCAGGTGCTCCAACCTTTCCCTTCTCTGCCCCTCCTCCCCCTCCCCCAACTATGGGCAGGCTGGCTTGTGTCAATTGGCCAATGAGTCCGAAATTGTTTTGTCCTCAGTCAACAGAACTCCTGAACTCGACCATCCATCCCCAGCGGAACTGGGCTGGAAGACAGAGGAGCAGGAGACCTAAGGAGTGGGCATGGGAGACATGCTCCATGGCCAACTCTGCTGGGCCAGTGTGAAGCCAAACGTGCCTCTGTCTCTAACCCAGACTTGTGTGACGGCTAGCATCCGCTCTGTCAGACCCTGGAAACCCCACCCCACCCCCAGCTATGGATCTTTTCCCACAGAAAGGCAGCTGTCAGGACTTCGATTTGACCGAGATAAAAATAAACCATCAGAGTCTTTGTGTGCTTCCTTTGCTGCAAATCTTACACAGTAATGGAGATCAAAGCCTTGGAGGATGTCAGCAGCAAGTACCCACCTACAGAGGCCAGGCTGGTCTCACAGGAGGGTCCGGAGGAAGCGGTGGGTCGCAGCAGCCTGCACCTTTTTTTAACTTCCCTCCTTTTGAGGTCAGGCCGAGTTGTCTGATGTGCAGGGTGTTCAGTTCGTCTTCAGTTTATCAAATGAATCTTGATGTGAAGTTTTCCAGTTTCGAAGCTATTACGACAGCCAGTCCTGGTGGCACAGGTTTGTAATTCCAGCTACTCAAGAGGCCCAAGGCAGGAGGATCAAAATTCAAGGCCTGCTTGGACTACCTTTGAGTTCAAGGCCAGCCTAGACTAGTGGGGCCTATACAGAAGAGGTTCGTAAAAGGGGCCTGGGAAGATAGCACACAGCTAAGGCACTGGCCTATCACATATAATAATTCAAGATTATGAGAGCCAGCACTCAGAGGAAGAGGCAGGCAGAGCTGCTAGCCTAGTTTACAGGCTGAGTTCCTGGGCTACACAGAGAAACCCTGTCTCCAAAAACCGAAAAGTAGATAAAACAGTTCCAGCACTGAGGGGGAAGTGGACACCAGGTCCCACTCCTAACCAAGAAGCTTTGTACAATTGCTACCTGCTGGCAAAAGGAAATTTAATTTTCTCCAAAGGAGTTTCCCTGGAGATCAGCCACACTGCAGGGCTGGAGTAGTTGGTCAACACAAAACAAACGGTTCTGTGTTTGTTTTCATCTTTATTTTTGTTGTATGTATATGGGTGTCTGTGCACCACGTGTATGCACTGCCTACAGAGGCCAGAAGAGGGCGTCAGATCCCC